TTTGCAACAACATTATTCTAATGACAATATCTTGGTGGCACGTATCCGACAAGATTATTATTGTATGCATGGATAAAGGCATTCTTGTAATGTGGATTCCTTGCTAGGTTAAAAGGAAGTCCAGCTGAGTAAAATATTTTAGCTATTTCCCCATCTAGTTGTTCTCTCATTTGTAAATTAAATATTTTCTCCAAAGCACTATCTACAACAAGTTTTCTTCTATTTGGTTCAAATCCCTCCATCCGAAAAGGCCCTTTGTTTACAGTATTGTCATCACTTCTAATTGAAGAAGATGATGAAGGATATGAAGCATGAGTGCTTGGAAGTAGAATATGTTTTAGAATCTCTTTTTTACTCCTTTACTCAGCTTCACTGATTTTTTTATAATTCAGCCATTTGTGATGAGCTTATTTTCGGGCATACTTTAATTCCATGGCCACTAATCTTCAACAAATGAGCTTTCACTCTATAATATGATCATTTGTATGTGGCATTGCAATAATTGCATTTGAATACAATATTGCTACCCCCTTCTGACATTTTACCTACTTTTGTCACATAACCCCACAGAGGTTTGTTATCTTCAATATTGGTCTCTGATGGACCATCATAAGACCCAATTCCTACACCACTAGAGCTTATTATCCTACGAAGGATCGACACAAATTAATCCACATATAAGAAAACCTTTTTATTGAAATAACTAAGAAGAAAAACACAAGATATAGTTGGATCATTAATTGGAGGGAAGATCCAACTCTCTCAAATCTGTAGCCGTCGGCTAGGGCCCTCTCAACCTAAGCAAAACTAATTTAAGCAAATACAAGCATGAAAAAACACTCAACCCTAGGGTAAACAACCTACATAAGGCATAAAATATATAGCAAATCTCACAACATCACGTTCAGGACTCATTCAGGTGGAGTCCTGTTCTGCCTCACAAAAACTCTAGACGATACAATGGATCGGCCTATCCTTTGATCGGTCCAGTGACTTATTTCTTAAATGAGATACTGCAGAAGTTAAATTCTATTTATATTTTGTTTCTTTAAAGAATAGGTGTTATTGATTTAGATGCTCCGATGATCTTATTAGTAGACAAACAATATCAAAATCATATATTTTTACTTCTTAGAATTATTTCTTAATTTATCAGCTCGAACCCTCCTATTAAATTTTTGAGGTTTCCTTTTAAGCCTAATGGCAAGATATGACAAAAACAAACAAAACAGATACTCTTTCATAGCTCAAAAATTTTTGGTAAGTCAATTCATATCTCACTACTTGAGGCAACTTATAGATCAAGCAAATTGAGGCAAAATGTCCTTATACCACATTTTTTAACCACCTCAAAAATAAGAATGGACCCTTGGAAACAACCTAGGGATGGACTCTTGGGAATAATCTTTGGATGAACCCTCATGAATAACATACGAGAAGATTTTCATACAACAATCAAATCTTATCCACTTATATGCTCCAGGGTGATCTTCTTTTTCAGGCAAACCATTTGAACTTGATCGAGTTGACAATTCATCTCTAAATAATACACCAAATCATAAATGAAATTCTTAACCATCACTAGTGCAAAGTATACATAATATCCTTAATCGAGAGTATTCTCAATTATCACATTTGAGATGTAATTATCATAAGGGCTTGTGCTTATGAGAAACATTGACACCCAACATATAAAATAAACTCTAGATAGTTCAAAGAAAATATTTGTAAATGTAAAATAATTTATCATACAAAACTTCATATTGCTCAGCATCTTATTCTATACTCCAAACAAAAATGAAGGGAGGGTCATCCCTCAAGCTCATGAGCACTTTAGAGCCCACAAAATATTTATGATCAACTACCACAATAATTGATTTTGTATGTATTAAACAAAATTATTTGTCAAAAGTATGTTAAAGTTAAAAATATGCATAAGTGAGCATTTACTAGTATTAGAAACAACTGCAAAGTAATTAATGAGCTTTAAATTACAATAAGATTACATCAAGCATCAACAACAACAAAAACATCAAGCCTTTATCCTACTATATGGGGTAGGCTACATGAATCATTTTTCTCCATTATGTCCTGTTAAGAGTCAAATTTTCATTTAAATCTAATAAAGAAATGTTATTTCTAATATTTTCTCATCAAGTATTCTTAGGTCTACATCTAACTTTCTTAACATAAGTTAAATCTAATACATCTATCATATCAAGGATCAACATTGAGCCTAAATCATTTTGTATTGATTACAAAGACGCTTAGAAAAAATATTCGAAGTGAGAAGCCTTAGCATATTTTTTTTGCAAATAACATAGTTCTAATTAGTGAAATATTTGCTAAAATAATTGAAAAGTTTGAACAATGGAGAAAAAATTTGGAGTTGTGCTAAAAAATTCATAGCAGCAAAGTGAGAGTTTTGAATCCTAACTTGGCACAAAGATTCAACACCCAAACAGATAAATGAAAAAATCACATGTTGCATTAGAATTTTTACACGAAAAGCCCAAAAAAAAATCATAGGGCCTGACCCAGAAATTAATTCGCCACATAAGCATTGATTACAAGGGTTTCCTTGTTTCTTCAATTGAAGATAGCAAGCTTACAAGAGTATGGGAAGCTGGCAAAAAATATTGCATAGTAGATGTGATGAAAAGGGGTTCAAATGATTATGGCCAAGTGACAATGGTTCAACAATGTTAGTCGGGCAGTGGTGTCATTCTATCAATGATAGTCGGATGGCAGCAATCCAATGGTGGTGGTCTGGTGACTAAGGTTGGAGGTGGCATTCCAACAATGGTGGTTTATCGGCAGTGATCCAACAAAGGTGGTTGGGCAAAAATAGTCCAATGGTGACAGTCAAGTGGTGGTCTGATGGTGGCACTCATGTGGTAGTCCAATGGTGGTACTCGAGTGGAGTTCCATGAATATTCAAACCTTTGAGCTCTATTGAATCCCAAACCATAAATCTTTCTTAGGCAAAGAGTGGGGGACTTTTTATAGATTTTTTTAAAGTGGTGGCATACCCGTATATATGGAGAAAATCCGGATCACTCCTTCAGACCATCCTTATTAATTCCTTTCATTTCATTCAGCATGGAAGCATCTTAATGTAGTTGGAATTAAGCAATCTTGGGCTCGTTGGATTCGTTACATCGAGGTACACAATCTAACCATAAGCATGTCAAATTTGGAGATCAGTTGGTCCTCAAATCAATATTCTAAAATTTTCTACTATGATTTAAGCTCTTAATTTGGGCCTATTTAGACTTGGATCAAATCATTTGTATTGTAGTTAGGTATATCTCATTGAGCTGATCGGTTTAATTATACATTTGTTGAATTGGAGTTTGACTAATCCTGAAATTAAATCTAGAAGTTTTCAATTCAAATGTTCAAGTTCCATGTCGAGTTAAGCCGATTATTAATGACATATCAAGAAGATAAACTTGAAATTAATAAAATAAAAATTATGTATATGATACATAATAAAGTGGATGTTGTAATAATAATTATTAATCAATATCATTAGAAGATAAAAGTGATACTTCAGTGTCATAGATTTAAATATCTTGGACATATTATATGAAAGAGTGACAACATAGATAAATATATTACTTAAAGAATTTAAGGCTAAGATAATCGTGTTGTTAAAATGGAGAAGCATCTAAAACTCATGTACTAAGTTATTAAGAAGACTTAATATCGTAAAGCTTCAACTAAGCTGACAATGTTGATAGATCCACATGTTGGGAAATAAGAAATTCATTGAAGCTTCAACTAAGCTGACGATGTTGATAGATCCACATGTTGGAAAATAAGAAATTCATTGATGACTAAGATGAGCATCGTGGAAATGAGAATATTAAGATGATTGTGTATGAAAATAAAGAAGGATAAATTAATGAATGATTATATTAAAGAAACAAATTAAATGAGATCTATTAAAAATAAAGAGTAAAAAATACATCCATTGGATGTGTAGATAAAATTAGCGTTGGAGGAATAGCAACGGAGGATCTAAGGTAACATGAATAGAAGTTATCCAAAATAATTTTGAAGAAGAGGTTAAAAATCAAGAATCACTTAGCATAAATAAATATAAAATGAGCAACCATAAAAAGATTCCAAATAATTGGGATATGGTTGACAATCGTGATGATGATAAAGATCATTTCAAAATATCTGCTTTGCAAATCCATTAGTTTTCACAATTCACAGTTCACACGTATGTATAAATACCTAGAGCTAAAAGTATATCTGATGGGATTCAATCTTCGGGTAAACTATCAACTAACCCACAAAAAATGAAGGAAACATCAATCATAAATAAAAATAAACAAAAAATGCAATCACGCTGAGACATTCATTCCAGATCATAAGGACTGGAAACTGATAAACCGTTTTAAGATGAATAGATATAAAAGGAAGTTTCAATGAGCTTTCACTTTTCTAACTTAAGGCCAATAACACATCTATGCTCGATTCCATCGATTAATTCAACATATTCACTAGACAATAACCCATAATCCGAAGAATAAAACTATACTTCCCAAACTAACCTGTCATAAAATGGATTTTCTGGCTTCCGTCACCAAATCAGCATGCACCGAATATTTTTTTCATTTTATATAGGCCATGCAAACATCCACAGAGCATCAACATCCATGCAAAAGAAAACATAAAATTCTAAAGCTTCTGAGACCTATTGTGGTGGTGTAGTAAATCTAATTCTAAACAAGGCTTGTTACTTAGGGTTATGGTTTTTTAGCAAGCAATTTATACATGCTGAAATTAATAAACCACACAATAATGCACCACTTTATTCTAGAAATCCAAGTAATAAGAGTAATTACATAATTGGAGATTCAATGGTCCTCAAATGAAAATAATAATAATAATAATAATGATGATGATGATGATGATGATAAAAACTATAAACTGATATATGACTATTATTTGGCAGTTAGATATCAAATTACGGGAAAGTTTACCACAGCTCCTATGCATAGAATTGCATTATAAGCTCCCGACCTTCCAAGTTTTTGTGCAACAACAGGAATCTCAAAACTACCTGGAACTTTGACAACCTGCAGGATATTAAGCAAAACATGAGCGAGTAAATTGCATATAAGTCCAATATATATATATATATATATATAACTGGTTCAATGCCACATATCGCTAGCACTTTCTAGTACAAATAACTGGATTATACAAACATAATTCAAAACTCCTTCAATAATCAACAATGAGTGGAGTGGATCTAACCAAATCTTAGAGAAAACTTTCTATAAGTCACGGAGAGTAGAGAAATCCCTCTCTCAACACATCTCCCAGAACAAAACCACAATATATCTCACTCTTTATCGTTTATTCAATTTCATTGGAGCTGTCGACCATTCTTTCTATTCAATCTCCAGAGGAGACCATAAACTCCAAATTATAATCCTTTGGATTTTCATCTGGGATCTCACGATAGCAAATTTTTGGGTAGAATCAAAAATAATTTCGTCAACAAGACTCTTCTTTCAACCTAAAATTCAAAACTTATACAGCCTCCTCTTCATTAAAAAAAAAAAATTCTACTGCAAATTTCGAGCTCTCTCAATACATGTTGAACAAATAGTTCCACAATATAGTTCAACTTGCCGTATACCTCTTCCTCTAGAGCTGTAACCATAACTTCTAGCATTTTAAATCTTAACTCAATCATCAAGGTTAGACTTTTCTCCAACCAAGTCCCAATAAAAAAAAGCCAAGTAGATGCTGCCTTTAATGCTTATTCCATAGTATCAACCATCACATTGGCCTCTCTAAGATGTTCCTCTAATGAAATAACTTTCTTAGACAGATCGTAGGCAATGATGTGCGGTAAACTAAATAGCTCTGTATACTTCACTAATACATAAAAACCAGCTTTATAGATAGAAGCCAACATTCTCACAGCAAAAATATGCATGTAGTGATTTTCACACTCTGCATCTCCTTCCCCCTCTACTCTGGAGTGAATAGCCCATGCTATTTGCATAATAAGTTGTCATGAGTTTTACTCAGAAAAGTCATGACAACTCATGATGTTACACTCAAGCCTCATTCCACCAAAATAAAACATCAATTGAATCAAGATTATCAAAGGTGAGGGATCGGCTCTCTCAAAATCATATAAAGGTCCAATCAAGCCGCTAAACTCCACAGTTTTCCTAGAAGGCTTGCATTGTTTCCTTAAGGACAAATAGCCTCAGAGAGCTCGTCAAAAAATGGTTAAGCCGACCTACTCTTCTTCAGCATAATTGTGGGGAAAAACTTCATGCCGCTAGGCCTGGCATTGAAGACAGAATTTAAGAAAGCCCTTAAAAGTACTAAAGTTAAAAGTACATAGTTAAATATAATAAAGAAAAAACACAAGCAGCTAAGCTCACCAAGCTAAACGTTAAGTAGTATGGGCAATTTGAAGTGAATAGCTTAGTTGACTTCAGTTACTTATAGGTCCGATTATCCAGCCAAGGTGCTTTTTATGGATTCAATGGAGGCATGGACCGTTGAAGTTAGAATTTGCTAACCCCAAAGGAATATACAACAACAACAACAACAACATCAAGCCTTTATCCCACTACGTGGGGTCGGCTACATGAATCCTTTTTCTCCATTGTGTCCTATTAAAAGTCAAATTCTCGTTTAAATCTAATAAAGAAAGGTCATTCCTAATATTTTCTAACAAA